AGCATCCTGGCCAAGGAGAGCAAGCACAGCAGCAGCAGCGTTGAGGAGAAGGTAACCGTGACTGGGGCACCCCTAGGCAGGCAGCACTGGGCTGCAGTGTCCTGCTACTCTGGAAGTTTGAGGGCCAGGCTGGGCGCTTGCCATCCACTGCCTAGGCCTCTGTTTAGCCCCCGTTGCCCTCTGATTGTCCTCAGCATGTATTGAGAGGGACAGTGAAGCTCCTCTGGTGTATGAGACTTTGACACTCGCCCTGGTCTTGTCTTCCTCCAATGGAGACCTCTGGATTCCCCCCTCCCAGCCTTGCCTGGCCCCCACAGGAGGCTGGGAGGATGACACTGCTGCATGTCAAGGTGCAGAGGAGAAACTTTGCAGGAAACAGTTTCCTTGTCAGGGTTCCAAATAGCATCCAAAATTAAATCAAAGTCCAAGGCAAAGTATTGCTCAAAGTTCCAATTTATTAAGAGAGCCATGTTGGCACATCTGGGAAAACCTGAATCTGAAAGCTTCCAGGTTTTATCCACCCAGTTGAAAGTTTAAGATCTTGCCCCCACATCCAAAAGTCCATCACATGATCCAATCTTCCACTGCCATGGTGGCAGTTCCACCCATCCAGTTCCAGCAAGGTGCAGAGATGCAGAGACAAAGGATGATCTTGGCTTTCTAGAAATGAATTTTATTTTGGCTACATAGCATTTAACTCTGTACCATCCCCCCTCCCATTTTCCCACAATAGAAAAGGCATAGTAGAATAATAGAAAGTGTGGCAGGCCAAAGATACAAAAGAAATATGGCTGCGGGCCTGACACACGGCCTCTCCTCAGAAGAAAAGTGTTTCCTTGAAAAGATAATAATGTAGGGGTTAACAAGCAGAACTAACTACATCTCCCCCCGCCCAGGGGGACCCTTTGGCTTATCAGGAAACTTATCATGGAATTGTTTTACTAATTTATCAGCTTTTACATTCCAACTTTTACCCAAGTAGCTTCAGGCAAAGGGTACCCCGTCCAATGCACTAAATATTGCAAACGACCTCTATACAACCTAGAGTCTAAAATTTTCTTCACTTCGTAGGGTTTTTCTCCTTCTATCACTACTGGAGGAGGGGGAGGTTGGGTGAACGATCTTAGGCTGGACCCAATCACTGGCTTCAGTAAGCTGCAATGAAAGACTGGGTGAATTTTCCCTAGAATTCTGGGCAGACTGACGTGAACCGTAACTGGGTTAATTATTTTCACTATTGGGAATGGACCTAGAAACTTTGGGCCTAATTTCTTGCTAGGCATTCTTAACTTTATGTATTTGGTAGACATGAAAACTTTATCCCCCACATGGAAGGGGTGTTGTCGCGAGCGGTGTTTATCAGCTTGTTTCTTGTACTCTTCTGCTGCTTCTGCCAGAGCTTTTTTCGTATTTTCGCACCCCTGTTTAAGAGCGTCCATCCATTCAGACAGAGACATGGAAGAGGGGGGGTTTCTCTGGGCAGTTTGGGCATGGGAACAAATTCCATGCCATTGGTAACTTGAAAAGGAGTTAATCCAGTGCTGCTTTGGACAGCGTTGTTGTATGTGACTTTGGCGAAAAGTAGCAAATCCGACCAGTTGTCTTGCTGGTAATCCACATAGCAATGGATATAGTGTTCCACCATCACATTGGCTTTTTCCGCTGCCCCATTTGTGCTCGGATGAAAAGCCAAGCTATGTCCCTGTGTGGACCCAATGGACCTCAGGAACTCTCTCCAGAACTTGGCAGTGAACTGAACTTCATGGTCTGAGATGATCCTCCTGGGTACTCTGTGTAGGCAGTAAATGTGTTTAACAAACATTTTCGCTATCTTCTTTGCAGATGGTAGTCCTGAGCAAGCAATGAAATGGGTTTGCTTGGAAAATAAGTCAATTACTGTCCAAATTACTTTATTTCCACTGCTGTCTGGGAGCTTGACGATAAAGTCCATTGCGATCTCTTCCCATTGTTGGCTGGGGTTGGCCATCCGTTGCAGTAATCCTGGCCGTATTTTCATGGTTGTGCAAGTGGCATAGCTTTTTACATAGTCTTCCACTTCAGCTTTCATTTTTGGCAACCAAAATTGACGCCTGGCGAGGTGGAGCGTTTTTAGGAATCCAAAGTAGCCTCCTAACTTTGCTGTGTAGCCTCACTGTAGTACTTCCAGCCTCAAGTTCGCGGGAACGTACAGTTTGGATCCTTTCCAGGCTAAGAATCTCTCATTGTCTGGATGTCCTTGTTGTTGAGCCAGGGGTCTGCCAACAGCACCGATTTCATTGCTGCGGTCAGCTTGCCCTGGCTGAGGGTAGGCGGCATTTTCAAATGCCGTCCTCCCACTTTATGGTAGTTGTCCTCTTGTCCAGCCACGCAAGTCCCAAGATAATTGATTCATGCATTTTTGGAGCTACGATGAATCTGAGGAGTTAGTCGCGCCCTATCTGCAACTTTACCAAGTCGGTAATTAGTTTGGCAGGGGCCCCTCCAATTAGCATCCTATCCACTTGCTCAAACCAAATGGGATTGGCTAGGGATCTTATGTGTATGCCTAGCTGCTCCACGATAGACATGCTGATTAAGCATCGGGTGCAGCCTATGTCCACAATTGTGTCAACTTCCTCTTCTACCCCTGCCTTGGGCACTATGGGTGTGGCTTTGATGGCAAAGGGGGGGATGGGTGCGCTTACCATCGAGGCGTCATCCCCACCGCTCCCTGACAGTCCAACCTCTCCTTTGACAGATCTCTGGAGAGGAGGAGGGGGTGGTGGGGGAGTTGCATGAAGTAAGACTGCCCTAAAAATCCTTACACGATTGGAAATAGGGATTCCCTTTCGAGAACGGCCAGCCTCTATGCTGGACTAGGGAGTACTGCTCTCCTGCCACCTCCTCTTGCTCTCCAGAGATCTGTCAAGGTAGTACTTGGATTCAGAGGAAACTGCTTCCTGCAAACTTTGTCCTCTATACTTCCACATGCAGCATCATCCTCTGTCTCCTGCTTTGCTGGGAGGGGATATCGGACAGGGAAACAATGTCCAACTGTGTCTGGGATTGGGAGAAGAACATATTTGGCATGCTGTTCATATGCACACACACAAACACACAGTTCCAAGCTTGGAGACTTTCATCCACATTTGAGCTTGCAAACTGCCAATCATGCCTGAGCTTGGGGAGAAGGCCCTCTCCTTCCTCTATAGATAAAAGTCCCCAAACTTAGAATACAGTATGTGTGGGTGCACGCATGTGCTTGGCTGCCAGCATTTTGGGGAGGCACTATGGAACAATCTCCCCGTGGAGATTCGTACCCTCACCACCGTCCAGGCCTTCCGCA